ATCGGAAGACAGGTTTCACTTGCCAAAACCTTGGAATTTTTAGCCATCGATGTATGCTCTTTTTCTGGCACATGCACATAGGACCCAAGTGTGATTATTCACCTCATCTGGTCAACGTAATGAATGCGCAAAACTCACTTTGTCGAGAAATGGTGGTTAGTTCTTGTGGACATGCTAAGTGCAGGCATAGAATGAAGTTGAGTACCAGAGAGCGCATTACTCGACTAGATACAAGTCGATATCTGGCTATGCGCTGTCCAACTAGACGGATCTGTAGGAACTAAAAAAGACGGTAATATTCAACGGTGACTATTTATATTCACCGCTTAGATCCTCCCTGATTGTTGTTTGGATGATACAAAGAATGAGTTCTGTGAAAACCTGCCAATCTCGCTACAAAAACCGCATCATTCAGATATAGCCATAACAGCCGGTAACTTCAACGCCTAAGGAAGTAAGATTGTAGCCAATTGGTTTAGACAGCTGGCTTTCAACAAACCGGTCACAAGTTTCAACACCCCGAGATTTGGGCACCCAGATAGTATCACTGAGCCTCGTACAGGAGTGGCTCCATGTCTACTGCACGAACGGGGGTATTATTAAATGGATTTCCAGGATTCTAAAGAAGCAGAGCCAACCTTGGAAAACCATACCAACGATGATTCTCTTATTTGCTTCTGGCGAAAGCTAACTTTGAGCACAAGGATAGTCTGACGGTCTCATATAGCGTCCACCGACATGAAAATAAAGGTGGATACAAATGGAGGACAGGTCATAGTCACACATGATCGCAGGAGGAGTATAGTCATTTCTGGAGTGACTGCGTAAAAATCAATCACACGTTAATGCAGGAACGTGTAAGTTTCCGTCTTAATGCCCACAGAAAACAAACCTCAGAGAAACGTTTATGCGCCTAAAAAAAGTAACTACGTCAAGAGCGAATATAGGGAGAAGGAAGTCAAAAGTAGCTTCAAACATGGCAGCAATTATGATTCTGGCTGACGTAACCATCATCTTCCTGTAGAAGCAGTCGGAAAGAACACTGGTAATCTATACACAAGGGCTGATAAAAGAAAACGGGTCATTACAACCTTTTTCAAATGGATCACTCAGAAACATCTTATACTGACCAGCAGTCAACCTGCGCGTACGCAAAGACTATAAGGAAATAACGACAAATTCCATCGCTTCTCATAGTCCTCTCTGCACTACTCAGTCAAACAGTTTACAGGCAACAATCAACTGGCATTCACTCAAGCACCGCACATTCTGTACTAGGACTTAACGCTATACATACACCTACAAAACCATAACAGACAGTCAACCAGTCTCTAGAAAGACCAAGAATAAATTTTGTAGATACACCACATTGGTAGGGTAAGGTTGCAGAAATAACCACACCGGGGTCCACCACACATGTCTTAAAAACACAGAACACTACTTAACCTGAAATACCAAATCTCTGGACAGCGAACTTTGTTGTTCGATTTGAAGGAGGGTGAAAAAATTGATATACAGCTCCGATACGCAGTTCACATCATGGTCATGGGAGATCACGAATGTTCTATGAATTCAAATCGTTATCAACGGCTTCACAGTTGAAAATACCGAAGGTGATGTAGAAAAGATTGGAAGACAAAGATATGGAAAGCTAATAATAATGTGAGAAAACCTAGGTACTGATAGAGTCCTGAGGGCAACTGATCCTTCCTGGATGGTAAAAACAGAGAAGGTTAATTCCACCAAGTATCTGAAATATGGCATTAATAATAGAAGTACACAGCTAGAGAACAAGCGAAATATCTGCTCAGGATCAACTACACATGGCCTTTTAATGAGTTTGCTTGTTTTCACTCTCACTGGAAAACTCATACGGCCGACATCCTAAATTCAAAGAGCAAGTAACCACTACATGTTGACCCCTACAGAATACTCCTTAGCATAAGGAAAGCAGAATCATAATGGAATGCTGGTCATACACAGGCGGTATCTTACTGTCGCTAGCAGTACGATTTCGCCCTTCAACCCTATCACTCGCAGACAGACCTGTTCTAGCACAGTACAGCCTAAAAAGTCAAATGTTTCCACCACCATAACCAATTCAGTCATTGTGATGTGTACACCCAACCAACATGTCAACGAAGCAATTATCGGTTGAGGAATAGATGTAGGAATGCTCTGTTTTCCTGTAGCCCACCCGACATTTCATAGGTTCCATGAACAAACATCTACATTTGATAGGAAAAAACCTCACTCAACTTGTCGTCACCCACTTTATTGTGTGCGCAGTCACGAGTCATTAGTTGTTTGCACAATCTACCAAAGAAACAACCACAACCCATTACTCTCAATATTTTTCTAATTTATTTCGTAATACATCCAACCTTTTTTTCTCCAACTCCTTCAACATCTTACACGTACCTCATAAGAACAATTCAACCGTACAATGTAGTATTCCAGATGTATAAAACTTCCCCCTTGACTGCTTATGTCCATATTTCACTGACAAAACAGTACTCATGTGCACTAACTTATGTAAGACTAAACGTGCACTAGATACATAAAAAAACACCTAATACCAAGTTCATCGGATTTGCTGCTTTTTCTCTAGATAGTTTAATGCCAATATTCTGTGCAGATTTTCACTGTGGTGGCTGCAGCTTCCTTAAATCATTCAATTATAAGTATGTTATCAGCTAAGCAACTCGTCTGAATACTACCGTAGATTTAGCCTTTGTAAACAACCCCGAAATTTATTAAGGCAATAAATGACCTTTTCTACCGAGCTCTTATCATTTTCAAATGGGTGTTTTGATCAAATTATATAGAATACAGTACGGATACTCAACAACACTTACCGTACTTTCGCACTTCATGGAGACATTCAAATACACCAACAGAAACACGTGTTGTAACAGCGTTTGCCTACAGATAGAGTACCGAACAACTCCACTTCACTAATCAACACTCTATCTTCTGAACTGACAAAAACAAGTATGGGTTTATGGGGAGTTGCCATTTGAAGTAATGAAAACCAGTGGTATCACATAACAATATCCACTATCACTCTACCTTATGAAATTCGCTTAACTTTCATATGCGCATGGAAACAACCCTAAGCATATAAGACTTCCCACAGCTTGACACACTCTTAGAAGGCCAACTAATTGACGTAGAGTACGCAGACAACATAGTCATGTATGGCACAGACGCTAATAAAATACAGTCTTCTTAACTCTTTCCACAGAAATCTGGGTGTGTTCCGAATGCACTTCACACATATCAAATGTGACATGACGCTTCAGGAGTGGTCAACACCGACTACTAGATTAGCGATAATGAATCAAGTGGTGAGACGTGTTAACAACTTCACTTGGTTGAGAAGTTATATCACCTCGAATGGGTTGCTTGATAACTAAGTCATAGCTCCGACAGAAAAGACGCGTTTCACATCAGTTTAATTATGCCGTATATGGAGGTGGTGAGATATTCCACTACCTATCGAATGATGAGTATACTATGCAGCAGTTTGCTGTCTTATGGTATGGCTGCATTACATGATCGCAGGAAGGAGTGTTGAAAGGGTACAATTTTTGACCATAGGTGCCTTCGTAGCATCACTCGCGTGTGTGAGAAATAAATAGGCTAGTCACAGATTACGAGGCAAGTCAAGCTTCATCAATTCAGGGGGCTTGTGTTACGGATGGCGAGCCATTACCTACTACAACGCAGGATGTTAGCTTATGAAGAATTAACCTGAGAGTCGAGGATGGTCATATGTGACATCAATCCACGTAGGCACTCACTGTTTTTCAGTCGTGTAGAAATATGTAAGCTGCTTGATTTGGTTCCGAGATGTGAATTACTGTTTGAAAGGTTTTGGTGACATTTATGTCCAAGACAAGTTTGTGCACTTTGACGCAGCTGAAAATTGGTCACAACTGTCACCAACGAAGTTGTGAATATTCGTACTTTCATTTATTTATGCTCTCTACTCTCATTGACTTTGGCTTACTTCAATGTCATTCTTTCTCGTTTACATTTTCCGTGCATACTGCTGCGAAGTGAGATAACTTGAACTGATGCACTTTTGTACCAGGTTCTACTTCGATCTAAAAGAATAGGTACACAAAATAAACAACTGAAACAACAACTGCGACATAAGTTACTACATTTCTCAAGATGCCTGAAAGTTCCAAGTGAATGCATTCGCATTTGTTGAAATCAAGCTGAAGTTGTTATGCTAGGTTTTCTGCATTCGTATATATATATATATATATATATATATATATATATATATATATATATATATATATATATATATATATATATTACGGCATTAATCAGGAAGCTTGAACTACATCAAGCAGCTCCAATAGAAAAAAAGTAACTTCACAGACTGACACCCTATTCCAAAATGACCAGAGTTCTCTTCACTTCATTGAGGGCATGCATTTGAAAAGCACAAACCACATTGTTATATATTCACAATAGTATCCACCAATTCATTTATTTGTTTGAAGTTCGACAACAAAAGTGAAGGCAGCCATTCAACTTACAAGTAATGAATCCCTTTAAAAAAGACCAGACGAGACGGCAAGCAAACTAAGATACTAGCAACAAACACATCTGACAAACCATCTAAAATAATAATCAGGAGTTTGCCTTCTGAAATTCAAGTGAAGTAATCACAAACATAATAATGACCAATTCTACCATATACCATAACTGAAAATGAAGGATTTTTAAAAGAACAGAAATATACTTATACAATAATTAAGTGAGCGTATTAGGATGCTCATTGATTAAGTACTAGTAAGTTAGCTGGATGACCGAGTTATGTAAAACCGTTCTATATTCCCTCTTTCATGACAGACCGCATGATTCAGATTCGTACTAAGATGTCCACGTTTCAGATGGTTGGTAAAAGTGATTCTCAGATGTCTGGAAACCACATTCATCATACAAGAACTATTTACAAGTCTACACGACAAGCAGATGCAAATTGATTAAAAAATTTATTAAATTGTATGTACATAGCTATATATAAAAGATTCAGTGACTAGTCAATATACAGAAGCATAGAATACTTCAAATCTCACTGGGAAAAAAACCTCAAATTAGATGAACGAATTGAATTCATCTAGGAAAAAATGAGGAACTGCACTGTGGTAAACGTAGTGTCTGTGGAGCATTTGATGCTGAAAAATTGGAATTAACATGGATAGGCCACAAAGAACCATGTGTAGGTGTTGTGAACAAATTGGTGGGAGGATATGAATTAGAAGTGGCAGCATAAGAAGGAGAAGGTCCAGATACATTCATAAAATTATTATAAGGAAGTGGAGTATTTCGATGAGAAAACTGATTAGTGTACATTGTGGGGGAACGTATAGATTCAGGAAATGACGGAAGATGACCTAAAGCTGATTGATGTTGGGTGTTATTGGAGGAATACGAAGGATAAGGTAGAGTTGTGGCTGAACATTTTTCCAGTTGATTTGACGAAGGAATTCGTTTCCTTTCAGTAGGCGGTTCATTTACACCTAGAAAATCGGCAATGGCAGATAATCTTTTTCCAGTCATATTGTTAAGTTGAGTAGTGTTTGTTGGCCCATGATTCGCTTCATTCTTTAAATCACGTCTGAAGTACTTTGGAGTTTTTATCCAACTTTGTTTCTGCGCCCTTTTACGTTCAGAGCGCTTTGAAAAGATAGTATATGCATCGAATATTTTTTCATCATTCTTAAAGCCATTTGACCCTGATTGGTGCATTTCATTTTGTTGTTCATAAGCACCGATGAGTGGCTTGAAAGCGGGATTGTTTTGCATATGCCAATTATATGCAGATGTTGTGACCGCTTGGTTTTGAGTACATCTATACGCTCTCTGAGGAGAATACGCACGACTGTCTACTGGTTCACGATCTGATGGGACTGGAACAGGAGTTGATCGTGGGACGTCAGTGGGAGGAGGGTTAGGGTACTGCATGGTTGTGATTGAAGAAGTGGTGCTTGCTGATACCTCTGGCATACCTGATAAGTAGAATAAAGAATTCATGAGTTATATGTACATGTCGAACTACAAACATGTGTATTATTTTGATAGATTCAGGATAACTTGATAAGAACTTAAGCTATACTAATCAAAATACCGTTAGATAGCCATAAACATTTGACACTTTTTCAACACCTTGTAAGAATATTCTTGTCACATATGAAGGCAGAAAACAATAGACCTTAATCAAGGCTATAATGGCTATAGTTTCCAACCTAGTAAAATTACATTGAGTGCACTGAAAATAAACTTTCCTCACGTATAAGTTCAAAGTATGCTACAGTTACCAGATTCAAATTTCGAGTAATGCGAGAATCAGCAAGTTGCATTGACGCGGTAACAATAAGAATACTTTTAGTTCAGATAATATTTTTGAAAGATTGTGAGATTTTCAGTAGGCCATGTTCCGAATAATTTATTCCTTGTACAATATTTTGAAATAGTTATGGCATTTAAATGGTGTCCATAATAACGATGACATAAGTAATAATATAAAATCATAGGCAGTTTACAGGTTCTTTGTCTAACCTTTAGGTAAATTATTGCAGAGAAGGGGGGATGTAGAGAAAAAAGGGTGCTTATGTTCAGTCGTAAAGATCTACTAAGTCGGTATGAGAACCTGCAGTCTGTGCTAACTGTTTCAAGAATTACCATATGCATTGTAATTTGTTGAAGAGGTCATTGCCATCTACTGTGGCGTGCTCCGTTAATTTTGTTCCAAACTTGCAAAATAATAGGTTGACAACAAATTAGAAATTTTGAGTTGATAATACGGTTTACGGATATAAGTAAATAAATAAAACGACTTCAGAAGCGATGATTTTAGGCAAGATATTTGGTGGAAAACTTTTGGTAACCCAAAAGGTTCGATTTCCCATAAAACTATAAATGAAATACCAACCCAGTGTTGATTAGTGGCATGGCTGAAAATCAGTCACAACGGCGATGTATTTACTCTTTGATATCATCTAAGGCTTGAATATTTTCACTAACCCTGAATTTTAAATTGCTTCTCCTCCTATAAACTTCTATCTACTTTGATATCACTCTGTTGCTACCCACTTGTTATTTGCATGCTGCTGTGAATTGTAGAAAATTGAAAGGATACACTTCTCTGCTAAATTGTACGTTGATTTTGTCTGCTCGCTGATGAATCAGTTAGAAAATGATTTCCTGAATTTCCAATTAAAAACCTCAAGCTGTGACGTCCAACCTAGTAAGGTATGAAAATAATTACTTACCGATGACACTGGATGATGATCATGCCATGACACGAACTGATACTTGGAAACAGGAGTCAATGGATTCTGATTCGGTGGTTGAATGGTAACGCGCTCATCGGGAGACCTCGCAATTCTCAATTCGATCCTAAGTGGGGTCATGGGAGAACAGTGGTGGGGAAAAAACCGCCGTTAAATTCCCCAGCGTTCTTCGAGGTTTTCTAGCTGGTGTTTGTGGTTTAAAACTTAAGAAGTAGATACTGATTTGGTAGGACAACCTTCAAGTTAAGTTTTGCCCTATCCTAGAGGTATCTGGCCTCTGTATTCTTGTCTTCAGTGTCTTTTCTGTAATAAAGGGAACCGTATACCGATGGAAGACTATCCATTGTCATTTGTCGAAGTGTTTTTGGTGTACAATGACAGTTTCCTTAATTCTTAACCTATCAGTTACGAGAAATCCTCAACCCAGTATTATTCAGTCACTTCAAACAGATTTAGTTGGTCTCCTGCAGAATTCTTATCTCAAGCATGATACTTTTTACTTTAAATAACAGAAATTCATTTGGAATAGCCAACAGATGAAGGAGGATGTGTAATTTTCTGAAAAAATTTACACATAAGCGTAAGGTATCTGATAATTTACAGAAATCTTATTCATGTACTGTCGCATACTTACTGAAAACTTGTATTCCTCTCTAACTACAGCTCATTTATATCTTTCACTTAATAAAATGGTGTGAAAGTTGGAATCAATAAACAATTTCGTGAATTGTAAAAATAAAATTGACCTACGCTGTTCAGGTTTTCTTGACACTTGATTGAGTGAAGAGAAAGGTAATTGTCGATTATCTACAGTATTGACCGGTTGGTTAGAAGTGTTTATATGAGTGTTCATAGTATTGTTTTCCTTCACAGACTGATTTAAACCACTAGGCAAATGTCCAGAAGACTTTAGGGCATCGATAGCTGACAGTATAACGTTAAATGCACTGCTCGATAGAGTGATTCGAGAGTTATTTTCACCACTATTTCCTCTGAGTTCATTTGAATTGCCAATATTAGGAGGTGGATAGTTGTAATTCACACGGGTAGGTGTTGAGGGTCCTACTGGCGCTCCCAGTGACGGTAGCATCAAATTACTATTTTCATATCTATTAGGATATTGGATAAAAAGTAAATAAGATTAACATTAAGTGAAAATAAAGGAATTTCTTTTGAAATTATTTACGAAATGCTATGACACGGTTTTACCCTTATGACACAATGAAGAAAATGTGTTAGACAAAAGAATGTTTTTATGACCTACAAAATGTCTACAGCATATCGTAAACACAATAATGTACCTTGAAATGATGGAGAATATTTGTAGGTAGCTTAGATGGATGATATTGATTTTATTGTGTTTTCTGAGATGGGTTATTTAATCATGGAGCTTTCATCGTCTTTCTAGACGACATCATCAGTATTAACTTCAATATGAAGTGAGCTGTCAATATCTCTCCGTGAGTGATTCAGTAACTTGCCCTGATGAAATAGTTTGTGATAGTTTGTTTACTTTGATTGTTGTGTCATTGCACAGATTTTCTTGATCCTTGTTCTTCTGCTTGATCTCTGAGCATTCTATTGTTCATCATTTTTCTTACTGGTTGATAGATTGGGTCTATTATCTATACATCTGTTGATTGCTGACTGACTGATCTGAATGCAAAGCTTCTAGCACTTCTCTGATATTCTTTGTGTTTTCTCTGTCCAAGATTTCTACACTGTCAAAAATGAATTCATATCTATGGTTATCCACGTGCGTTGAAAGGAGCGATGAAATGAGATTCTTAGTAGACAATTGGCGTTCATGTAAACGAAGGCAAAGAGGGTGACCACTATATCCAATGTAGCGTTGATCACAATTATTGCAGTTGATTTTGTAAATGACATTTGGTTTACCTTCTTTGATTGTTGCATCCTTTGGTCTACATAATAGAGTTTGGAGGGGAATTTGTTGGTTTATGAGCCACACCAATTCCAAGTGGTCACAGTAATCTTGTTGTGATCTCTGATTTATTCTTTATGTAAGGTAGGATAGTTGACAGAGTCAGTTGCCACCTTCAGGTCAACAAATATGACAAGTGTCGGACCCCGGTAGGTATGCTTGTATTCCAGAACCTGTCAGAGGGCAAACGTATGACCAATACACTCTCATCCAGGTCTGAAACCTGACTGGTTTTCTCGAATCTGCTGTTCTTGAGCTCCAGTTAGTTACTTATCAGATAACTACGCATCCTGCGATCTTAGACACAATATTAGTCAAACTAATTCCTCTATGGTTGTCACACAAAGATTTCTCTCCCTTCTCATAGACTGAGATGATCAGTGACGACACCACCTCTGACTTCCATACATTACCTAGTACCTCCGTCACTTTAATTACCGACTTCCTACCTACAACCTTGAAAACTTCAGGTGGCAAACAGTCAGGTGCAGTTGCTTTCCATCTTTTCAAGTTTGATACAGCTTTCTCAACTTCAAGGACAGTTGGAGGACCAACATCCAAGTCTCATTCAGGTTCAGGCTGGATGTTGGGGCAACTGAGGCATTTCTGAGGACTAGTTGAAGTGTGCTTCAAAGTGTTTTACCTAACATTCTAGCTGCCTGTCATGGGAGGTTACCAGCGTCTCATCCTTTTCGGTGATAATTTCACTAACCATCGTCTTCTTGTCAGCATCCATAGAAAGCCTAAACAGTTGCCGGATGTTACCTAAAGCTGATGACTTCCCCATTTTTCTTGCTCTCCCTAGATTCGCTTTGAGCACGTATTGTTTTTTTCAGTCTCATGAATTAACTTTACACACAGTATACCCATGGGTCGAGAAGCGCTCGGTGACGTGATGAACGAGAATGGAGAATTGTTTGCAGAATTCTGTGCATTCAACTATTTGGTGATTGGAGGCGGGGCAGTGTGTTCAAGCACAAGGATATCCACAAAGCGACATGGATTTCACCAGACACCAAGACACACTAAAAATCATCTCAATCTCAAGAAAGTGGAGACGCAGTCTACTTGACACAAGGTCAAGAAGAGGAGCAGATGTAGGTTCACACCATTCACTATCTGGTGCAAGGAACCTTCAAAATCAAATTGAAAGCCTTCAAGCAAGCCGGTGATAGACCACAGTCCAAGTTCAACACCTAGAAACTGAAAGACAAAACTGCAAGGGACATCTTCACGTCCGCCATAAGGACACAATCGAGGACATTAGGCAGCATCCCCGAGGAAGCCTGCGTGGAAGAACACTGGAACTCTTTCAAAGAGATGTGGAAGGAAACCTGCATGAGCGTGTTAGAAAGGAAGAAGAAACAAAACAAGGAGTGGATCTTGACGGACACATGGAAGCTGATAGGGCAGGGAGAGGAAGATGGTGATGGTGAAGCAGAAGATGAACCAGTGCAGTGCAAGGATGAGCAACGAAAAGAGGAACTGAGTACAATGTATAAAACACTACACTGGACAAAGAAGTGAACAGTGCGTGCAAAGACAAAAGACACTTCTGCGACACATTGGCAATTACCAAAGAAGAGAAACAAAGGAAAAGATGGGCCGACCACTTGAAAAAGCTCTTGAATCGACCACCACCTGCACTTCGTCCAGAAATACCACCTGCAGCTCAGCCACAGAACTACAAGTGAACACAAATCCTCCAACAAAAGTCGAACACTTGAGCGCCATAAAGCTACTGAAATGTGGGAAAGCAGCACGACCAGATGGAATCCAGCCAGAAGCACTGAAAACAGACACAGAGACAACAGTGGACATGCTCACACCACTATTGAAGAGGGTCTGGAAGGAAAGGTAACTGCCTATTGATAGGAAGAAGGGTTACCTTGTCAAACTCTCGAAGAAGGGAGACCTCAGTGTTTGCAAGAACTGGCACCGAACCACTCTCCTGTCCTCCCACAGCAAGCAAAATATTAGGCCGCATCATCCTGAAGAGACTAAACAATGCTCTGGATTCAAAACCACGACCCGAACAGGCTGGCTACCTTCACCAAGTACAAATCATGTGCAGACCAAATTGCAACGCAACGCTTCGCATCATCATAGAACAGAGTATAGAATGGCAGTCAACTCTCCACCTTACCTCAACTTCATCGACTTCGAAAAGGCCCTTGACAACGTCAACCGAAAAGTAATTTGGCAGGCAGTTGCTTCAACACTACGGAATACCACAAACCTTTATCAACCCCATTCAACAACTATATGAAGACGTATGCCACATGCAAAGTAATTCACAATGGACAGCTCAGTGATGCCTTTGAAGTGAAGACAGGAGTAAAACAAGGCTGCCTACTATCACCCATGATATTCTCGATTGTAGTGGACTTGATCATGCAACAAGCAGTGGGGAGCGAGAACAGGGGAATACGCTGGCTGCACTGCGGAAAATAACCTAGAAGACTTGGATTTCGCCAGTGATGACTTGTGTCTGATGTCACACACACTTGAAGATCTACAGGCAAAAACTGACAGGTTGACAGAAGAGGTAGGGTAGCGAAGACAGGACTCCCTTCAAGTGAACGTAGAGAAGACAGAGGTGATGAAGATACCCAACCACCAACAGCAACAGCAACAACAAGCTCCAATCACTATCAACGACAGAAACTCGAAGGAAGTAGCCTCCTTTACCTATCTAGGCAGCATCGTTTCAACTACAGGTGGCGGCACAGACGAGGACGTCAAAACCAGGATCGGAAAAGCAAGACAGGCCTTCCTTCATCAATCTGAAATCAGTGTAGAGATATACTCCACTCCACTCCACTCCACTCAGCATAAACAACAAGATCCGGATTTTCAACACTAATTCAGTCAAGTCAGTGCCTCTATCTGATGGTTGACAGACTTGGTGCGTTACGAAAAACATTTCTAACAAACTACAGACATTCATCAACAGCTGCCGCCTACGCTCACTCAAAACTGAATCTCAGATGGCCAGAAAGAATCAGCAACACAGAACTCTGGCTGGCAACGGACCAACCAACAACCCATCGCTCAACAAATATGCAGAAGAAAGTGGAGATGGATTGAGCATACACTAAGAAGACCATCAGGGGGACATCACACGCCAGGCCAGGCCGTCGAGTGGGACCCAAATGGGAAACGACGAGTTGGGCGTCCTAGTTGAGGGTGACATGGAGGAGACCATGTGAGGGAGAAATGAAGGCGTCTGGGCAGTCGTGGAGCCAGGTTCAAAAGTTTCGAGAAAAGAGAGTGCACTGGAGACGTGCTACTGAAGTCCTATGTTCCATTAGGAACCCAATGGATAAATAATAATAACAGTACAATATTCTAACTTTAGGTAAAAGCAAGTTTGAAGTAACATTTTGAACTTCCATCCTTGTGGACAGTTATGCGAAAATTCCTTTTTGATAAGTTTATCAAGCGAACTTATTGATGTCTTTTACAGATTTTACAGCCCTACAGGAATTATGCAAATTTTCTATTTGTGAAGAGTGTTATAGACGTTATATGCAATGGCGGATAGAATTTACACTAGGAAATTCTAATATTCTTTGCATTCCAGTTTGACTCAGTCCTAGTAACTAACTAATCCAGATAACAGTATTTATGATTATACTGAAGGTTTGTAGTTTAAATCTATTATTTGAGACCAAACATGTTATCCTCTTGTTCAGACGAGCCTAAGAGTTTGTCTTTCTCACACCAAAATTATATATTATTTTATTTCAGATGAAAAAGGAGAAATGGACTCAGCAACATTTTGCACATTAATGCAGTAGACAGTGAGCCACACTTATTGTGCTAGGCCTAATGATACCGCCTGACTGGCCAAGCCTTGGTAGATGGGGTAGTGCTAAGACCCATTGGTTGAAAGTCAACTACCTAAACCAATGATCCAAACCTCATCCCTCACTGTAGTGCATGTGTAGATCAACTCGACAGCCCGAGATGTGACGCATCTATCACCCTATTTTTAGGTATCTTCATTATCCTTAACACTGAGACTTTTGAACCATTTGTATAGCCATGGCTATTTAGTTACGAGAGGATTTTTCTAAAACCACATATTTCACTTTCAAGATTACGTTCTAAACAATTATTCCCAAACCATACTCCCGTAAACGGTACTTTTTTCCTGCGGGATACATCTAATAAATCAATTGAAATCGATTTATATTCGACCAGTGCCCAAATTTTATTCTTTTATTAGTGAAACACATGGTCTTCATATGTGAAGACTGATCAACACCTTGATATGACTATGGACAATAAATTGTGTCCGAAACGTAATGCACCAAAAACAACACGATTTCGTTGTGATTTACTGATTAAACCAACTCCAAAAAAGTAGTGAATTTACTTTTAAAATTAATGAAAGTTCGAGACGAAAAGTGTTTACTTGACTACTTACCGCAATTCGTCAACAAAATGGTTGAAGGAAGAATTGTGTATGATAGCATACTGATGAAGTGTAGAGTTTTCGATATTTGTTAACTTAGCAGCCTTAATTCTGGCGGCAGCAGATACGTCGGCAGCTATTCTTCGAAGATTCTCTTCGTGCTTACTTTTTAGTATTTTCAGTTTCTCCAAAACCCAGTCAGCTTCTTTTGTAAAGTGGTCTACGTAAGTGCATTCCTTTTGCATCTTGCCGTTGGATCTACTAGCTTTCAGTCCCAACAGACCTTCCTGCTGTAGTTTCATACTGATAAAATATTACAGAAAAAAGTACAAAGATAAAATAATTCATATACCGTTGGAAAAAAAAATTTAAACCACCAAGAAATTTCATTTGCATTTATTAGTTAGTGTCTCAGTACTTTAATTCTTTACTAAAACTCGTCTGCAATCTCTCAATCTTATCTCAACGAAGTAATCAAAAATTCACTGAATATATAACTGTATAAGTTGAACTTTTTTGCTAGTAAGAGTACCGTTAAACATCATACGCTGCCCGTTTGTGAATGGATATTTATGTATAGCGAGGAAATACCAAGAAATTAATGTATTCATCCCAAATTATTTTGTTTTTAATTTCAGACACCTATTTTAAAGACATGTGTCTAACATACTATGCACAACCAACGTCTTTGTACCTAATTTTTCGAGAACTTTGCACATGAAAAACCTCAAGTTTCAGTGACTGCCATTAACTGAGGAAACGTTTCTAATAACTTATTAGCAGTTTAAAGTATTATATAAATATCAGCTTATTGAGTGTGAGTAACCAAAACCTGAGTTTTTGGAGTCGACTTAATCACCCCGGGTAGTTTGCAGATATTCATCCTATCTACTGCTTGATGACTGATTGTTAACGATACGATAGTCATATCGTAAACGTCAGTATAATTTCAAGATGAATGAGTGCTCAGGTTGTATTGTAAGGAACGACAAAGACTGAGACATAGGACAGAATGTTTACTATGACATCTCGTACAGTACTGATAAAATATTGTACATTTTCCACCAAACTAATCATTTGCACAATGTGTTTCATTTCCTCTTTTGCCTATATCTGGTCTTGCTTTTAATACGCCCACATTGTCCTTTGCGTTTCTAAGGGTAACTGCCTATGATTTCTGACGACCCCTCAATACATACTACTTATGTCCATTCCTCTCAGTAGTACCCACTGCAGTATCAAAAAACAATCAATCATTGCTGAAACAGATTGAAAACAAACTCCTTTGAACCGATTCTAACTTGAAAATATTACATGAAGGAATGTTATGGCAATCTTTTTGACCTAAACATATCTGAACGACAATTTTCGTAGAGATTTCATGTATGACTGATGCATAGGAAATCGACGATTTCGAGCTGCACTTGAAGGATGTTTCCTTTGATTTAAGGCTGAGACTAGTTGTGGTAAGAGTAGCAAAATGCTGATTTCAAGTAGTACCAAATTAGTAGATAAAAATACTTTGTTAGTAGAAGATAATACGAAGTCATGAAACAATTCTAAAACGTGTTTTTATAACTCACTTTTAGAATCGATAGGCAATTCATTTTTTAAAATCAATTTTGAAATAAGTAGTAAATAAAATGTTAACGTACATGTAGTTTTCACAATCATCATCTGTGATAGTTGTCTCATCCATAGATTCACCGTTCAACTGTACATCCTTGTTTCCTGATGCTATAGCCCCCATGACAAATTGAGACTTTATGTTTAGTTTTCTTGTGTCATCACTCGTATCACTGTTTCTTTTTTTATCAATTGACTTTAAGATAACATTGTAACGAGTAAAGAAACTGGAATTGGAATCTGGAGAACCCAATGCTAAATTAACAAAATAAGTAACTAAGAATCTTGAAAATGACAACTACCTTCTTCAATTGCTGTTGTTTCTTCGTCAGAAGAATCTTCTCTAATCTCGCCTTCTTCAAGGTCTGCTGAAACCGGCGTATTAGAGATAGACTGATCACATAGAGACTGAGGCTACAATAATGAAAACAATCAGCAGTTTGACCGGGAGAGTTATAATTTCTTACCGAATTTTCAATTTCTTTTTTTTTCATAAGACGTGCTTCATTGTGTTCTTGAATTAGGCGTACAATTTCACTCTGAAGATCGAGGTCTGGGAAAATCATTTTTGCGCACATTATATTGATAAAGCTTACCTTTTACAGAATACTCTTTAATGATAAGACGTTTTCTACCTTCGAAATCTTCGATCTTACGGGCATATACCTCCAGTCTACATGTTTGAAGAGACTTATCACTATGATCCCGATCAACAATTCTAAACAGAGGTAAGTAATGTGTATTCTATGAAATCTTAAGAATATACTTTTAACGAACTTACAAGATAAGCTTTTCTATGGACGACACTACATAGATGCTTTACCACTGATTTTCGCGGTAACCACTGGTTACAGAGGCTACATATATACAAACATTCATCCAATTCCTGTAGTTGATACTCGAGCATATAATTGAGTCCAATTAATGGTTGAGTACAAACATCAAGAAAAGGCTGTATTTTAGCTGTCACTTTAACTGGCGCTTTACGTTTACCCTTTAACAAAGAACGATCACCTAGAAAATCAAGATAAAATCAAAAGTAACATTAAATACTTGATTAACGTAAAAATCTTCGACGCATAAAACTTGTCTTTAATCTGTAATCAAAATGTTCACACTAACAGCCTAACTCAACTTATAAATATTTGTATGCATGTAGCTACTTGTATTAACCTGTCGAATGCAGTCTATAACGAGTGCACAATTTCCCATTACCAGCAGTTGGAGAACAGAAACAGAAACCATAGCAGATATTTCAGTGTAAAATCGCTTTTTTAACGGAAGCTACATTCCTTTCTACTCTTCACCAATACCAAGGGTTGTTGAACCAAATCAGTATACCTATCTATACATGCTTTTCTCAAAAATTTGTATCCGAAATTGAGTTCATTAGAGGGAAAATTATCTAGGTGAGGAAACTTAACATACCAAAAGTAATCTTATAACAAGATTGATGTTAACTCTATTTCCATTTGCTCAACAAAAGCATAGCGATGATAAAGTTGTCTGAGTATAAATCTAGAAAAGTGTAAACTGTCAACAAGATTAAATTACAATCATAATTTTGCAAAGGTAATATTTTGCCCAAATATATTCTAGGTTTCAGTTGTTAACAATTAAAATGATGCATTATTTAATGTGCAGAACATAAACAATTGACACCACCAGGCTTTTACCGTAAAATAAAGAGCAATCTGCGTACATGAATGTTACTAAAATTTGATAATAAGTATCTAGGCAACAATTCCCATCGACGTTAATAGTGAATAATGTCGGTTAGTTGCGCTTAAAATCGAATCACTATATCATGACGGTAAATTTAACTAACTAAGTGTTTAGAACACGAACAGTACTTACTCCCTATTGGAAGTTAACTGGTAGAATAGGTTGACTTACCTGAAAAGCTTGCATCAGTCCAAATCGGTTATTTGCTGACGTAGTTCCAATTCTGATGAAAAAGGTTTTCTAGGACTTGCTAACTTATGTGACCCTAAGGCCCCATTCTAGAAACGACTGGTTTTCAGTTGCTGCTTGAGTGGCCTTTAGAGTCACTGCAAATTGAGTCATCTCTGGCGCCGGCGACATATCTGACTAACTATCAAAGTATGGGTATGCTTCACTGCAGTCCGTTGTCTTATTATGCGGCTGAGATATGGCCGCTAAAACGAAATATCAAGAGAATCAACGTTTTGGAACACAGTTGCCCTTTCAGCATTGCTTGCGCAAGGTAAAACCGCAACGCCAAGGTTATTTAAAGAGTACTAGGCAAGGAAGGTGAATCAGTTGTAGTTATGAACCTTCCCCGACTGAGGTAGCTTGGACATGTCATGCACATGTTAATAGCTGGAGACCCTATGTGATATGAGTTAAAAGTGTTTACAATGACACCCATGTATCCACTCTTTGATGCCGTCTAAAGCTTGAACATTTTTAATAACCTTGACTTTCCAATTACTTCTCATCCCATACACTACCGTTTACTTTGAAATAACTCCTTTTCAACCCAATTGTTATTCGGACGCTCCTGTGAAGTGTGGCAACTTGAACCGACGCACGTCTTTGCGAGCCTTTACGTTGATTTTGTCTGCCTGTCTGACATATGCCTAATAGTGTGATTATCTGAAAAATTATGTTGGTTCGATTACCACAGAGAAATTTAAGGTAATCAAAAGGTAATGTTACTTATTGAAGTGACCAAAATTCAAACCAGAGTTTAATAATAAATTCTTTTAGAAACTAAGTACTACTGTATGAATCAATTCAAAAATACATATTTTGACTTTCCAAACGTTCCTGTCATAATAAATAGTAATATCCCGATATTACATGTTCTTATCCTTCTTCCTATGTTATCATCACACATATTTTAGGACTTAAAACAACACAGATGTATGTTAGTTTGTAACAATCATAGTTTTATCAGCACAATCAGCAGACAATGTAGGATATGGTAAAACTCAATACTGCCTCAAGTTGCACACTTTATATCAGTATTGTAACTCTAAATAGAAAGACAAAGGAATGACAATAATGAATGCAAGTGGTAAGAAAACCACAAGAAACTGGTAAAAACAAAGTACATGTATAAATCATGGTATTAACAAGTTTTAGAAAAAGGTATGATGAACAAAACCTCGCCTAGTTTACTAGCCTGTCCTAAGCCCAGAAAAAGAGGGAAGGTTGAGCATAGGGCCAGCACCACTACCTCGGATAATCAATCCAGTCACCAAAGAAACTTCAAAGCACAGAAAAAATATAAAAAAACAAAAATAAACCTATTCTTCGCTGAAATCGGGGAGACGAAATGACGCCGGTTAGTGAAAGCCTTCGTGAAGCCAATTGGCCGATGTGTCTTATCTCCACAAAAGCAAACGTAAGCATAAGGACATGAAATGTCCGCACAATGTTTGAAGCTGGCTAGCAAGGCTGCCCAGATTGCAAAAGAAATGCGAAGATATAGCATAAAGTGCTAGGAATGTGCGAGAGCAGATGGAATGGAGGTGGACTTTCCACACTTAACTGGAGAGTCAATGATCTACTCCGATATTGTCACCCAGATTGTCACCCCGAGCACACTGACGGAGTAGCTATCATGATGTCCCCAACAGCATCCAAGGCACTTATGCAGTGTGAACCAATCTCCTCATCCAGCATCATTCATGACAGCAAGATTCAAGTCAAAAGGAAGGAAAGCTACAATCATATAATGCTACGCTATGCACCTACAAATAATGCGGACCAAGAGAAGAAAGAGGAAGTTAATAGACAACTGCAATCAGTACTGGGAAAGACACCATTCCAGTTGGTGACATCAAAATTCGAATGGGTGATATGAATGCCAGACTGGGAACGGACAACACAAGTAGAGAAGCAATCATGGGTCGAGAAGCACTCAGTTAAATGAATGAGAATGGAGAACTGTTTGCAGAATTCTGTGCATTCAACTATTTGGTGACTGGAGGCGGGGAAGTGTGTTCAAGCACAAGGATATCCACAAAGCGACATGGATTTCACCAGACACCAAGACACACTAAAAATCAGATCGACTTCATCTCAATCTCAAGAAAGTGGAGACGCAGTCTACTTGACACAAGGTCAAGAAGAGGAGCAGATGTAGGTTCACACCATTCACTATCTGGTGCAAGGAACCTTCAAAATCAAATTGAAAGCCTTCAAGCAAGCCGGTGATAGACCGCAGTCCAAGTTCAACACCTAGAAACTGAAAGACAAAACTGCAAGGGACATCTTCACGTCCGCCATAAGGACACAATCGAGGACATTAGGCAGCATCCCCGAGGAAGCCTGCGTGGAAGAACACTGGAACTCTTTCAAAGAGATGTGGAAGGAAACCTGCATGAGCGTGTTAGAAAGGAAGAAGAAACAAAACAAGGAGTGGATCTTGACGGACACATGGAAGCTGATAGGGCAGGGAGAGGAAGATGGTGATGGTGAAGCAGAAGATGAACCAGTGCAGTGCAAGGATGAGCAACGAAAAGAGGAACTGAGTACAATGCATAGAACACTACACTGGACAAAGAAGTGAAGAAGAGTGCACGGAAAGACAAAAGACACTTCTACGAAACACTGGCAAGTGAAGCAGAACAGGCTGCAGGTAGGAGAGACCTGACAACACTATGTCAAACAACCAGGTCACTATCTGGGAAGAGATCAACACATGAAAGCAATGAAGGATAGTGAAGGAAAGGTAGCAAAGAGGAGAAACAAAGGAAAAGATGGGCTGACCACTTGAAAAAGCTCTTGAATCGACCACCACCTGCACTTCGTCCAGAAATACCACCTGCAGCTCAGCCACAGAACTACAAGTGAACACAAATCCTCCAACAAAAGTCGAACACTTGAGCGCCATAAAGCTACTGAAATGTGGGAAAGCAGCACGACCAGATGGAATCCAGCCAGAAGCACTGAAAACAGACACAGAGACAACAGTGGACATGCTCACACCACTGTTGCAGAAGGTTTGGAAGGAACCAAGGAAAGATACCTGCCGAATGATTGGAAGGCGGGCTACCTTTTCAAACTTCCAAACAAGGGAGACCGAAGTCTTTGCAAGAATAAGAACTGGCGCGGAATCATGCCCCTGTCCCCATCCACACAAAGCAAAATATTAAGCCACGTCATCCTGGAGAGACTAAACAATGCTCTGGATTCAAAATTACGACTTGAACAGACTGGTTGACTTTAGGAAAAAAAAATCATGCGCGGATCAAATTGCAGCGCAACGCTACGCATCATCATACCAACATGGCAGTCAACTCTACCACTCAACTTCATCGATTTCGAAAAGGTCTTCGATAGCGTCGACCGAGAAGTAATTTGGAAACTGCTTCAACACAACGGTTTTAATGCCACAAACCTTTATCAACTTCATTCAACAGCTATATGCTATGTGATGCTATATGCCAAGTGATTCACAATGGAAAGCTCAGTGATGCCTTTGAAGTGAAGACAGGAAGGATTAAGCCAAGGTTGCCTACTATCACCGATTATCTTCTTGATTGTGGTGGACTGGATCATGCAACAAACTGTGAGGAGCGAGAAGAGAGGTATACGCTGGACAGATGGAAACACCTTAGAAGATTTGGATTTTGCCGATGATGATTTATGTCTAATATCTTGCCGCACAAGCTCGAAGATCTACAGACGAAAACTGACAGGTTGACAGAAGAGGTAGGGTAGCGAAGACAGGACTCCCTTCAAGTGAACGTAGAGAAGACAGAGGTGATGAAGATACCCAACCACCAACAGCAACAGCAACAACAAGCTCCAATCACTATCAACGACAGAAACTCGAAGGAAGTAGCCTCCTTTACCTATCTAGGCAGCATCGTTTCAACTACAGGTGGCGGCACAGACGAGGACGTCAAAACCAGGATCGGAAAAGCAAGACAGGCCTTCCTTCATCAATCTGAAATCAGTGTAGAGATATACTCCACTCCACTCCACTCCACTCAGCATAAACAACAAGATCCGGATTTTCAACACTAATTCAGTCAAGTCAGTGCCTCTATCTGATGGTTGACAGACTTGGTGCGTTACGAAAAACATTTCTAACAAACTACAGACATTCATCAACAGCTGCCGCCTACGCTCACTCAAAACTGAATCTCAGATGGCCAGAAAGAATCAGCAACACAGAACTCTGGCTGGCAACGGACCAACCAACAACCCATCGCTCAACAAATATGCAGAAGAAAGTGGAGATGGATTGAGCATACACTAAGAAGACCATTAGGGGGACATCACACGCCAGGCCAGGCCGTCGAGTGGGACGCAAATGGGAAACGACGAGTTGGGGGGACAAGTCATGAAATCGCTGTACTTAAAACTGTCAAAAGATGATATCTCATAGAGTGAGAACCGTCAGTTAGGAAAAAAGATTACCCATAATCTATGGTGGTAATGCAATCGAAACCAACATTCACATGGACCCTATAAGATTGACTTCTTTTATCAATTCACCTATTATAACCATGCTGCGGTGTGCCAAATTACTGCACACAAGTAAAACGGGTATTCAGTGCTAAGTAAATGTAGTGACGAATTCGATATGTTTACTGACAAAAAGTATATGATGCTTTATATCTTTTGCCGTATTACCTAAAGGTAGTTCATAATTCACTGAAATCAATCGAAATCCATTACATTTGGTTGGTATCACAAGTGAGAATATGAAACCATGGGGCTGACACTACTTTAGTGAAAATTAAGTTACAAAACAACAGGAATAAAAACTCCACGAAAAGGATCTTGACTTACCAGTTGATTCAAAAATAATAACATTTTCTCGATGCCGACGTCCATTGAGGTGTGAACCGAGAGTCTTATGAGATGGGAATTCAACTTCGCATAGCTATACGAAGATAAAGCAGATTATCAAGGTTATTTATTACACAACTTAAAAAATTAAAAGCAATCTAATGAACCTCAACATATGATCGCAAAACCAATAGTTCTATAAAAAACCCTATTTTGAATACAAAGAATATACGATACTTGAGAGTGACGATGCTTAACTTATATAGCTCAACAACTATGTCCGCGCTTCCACGTTAAGAAATGAACTACACTTACTTTATGAGGACTGGTTGTACTACCTCAGTGGTCAAGCTTCAGCATCCAGACGACAGTCAACTAGCATTCGCTCAAACACCGCACATTCTGTACTAGAACTTAACGCTATACATACACCTACAAAACCATAACAGACAGTCAACCAGTCTCTAGAAAGACCAAGAATAAATTTTGTAGATACACCACATTGGTAGGGTAAGGTTGCAGAAATAACCACACCGGGGTCCACCACACATGTCTTAAAAACACAGAACACTATTTAACCTGAAATACCAAATCTTTGGACAGCGAACTTTGTTGTTCGATTTGAAGGAGGGTGAAAACATTGATATACAGCTCCGATACGCAGTTCACATCATGGTCATGAGAGATCACGAATGTTCTATGAATTCAAATTGTTATCAACGGCTTCACAGTTGAATATACCGAAGGTGATGTAGAAGTATTAACAGAGAGATACGGAGAAGATTGGAAGACGAAGATGTGGAAAGCGAATAACTATCTGAGGAAACCCGAGTACTAGAAGAGTCCTGAGGATAACTGATACTTCCTGGATGCCAAAAGCATGCAGAGTTACTTCTTCACCAAGCATTTGAGAAAGAAATGGCATTGGTAGTTATTATCATTACAACTGTCCGGACACAAATATGGTACAGTGAAGGCACAAAAAAATGTCACACAAAATAATATAACATTATGAAGGCAAGAGGATAAATAAAACAGAAAATACAATAAAAATAGAATGATTAGAAGGGCAATCCAAACAGAAACATTCAAAACAAAACATTCGTTGCTTCTCAGAAGCAGAAGGTAACGGGAAGCTAAAGCATGACCACCACTGGCTTCGATTCCTACTGAGGGTAACTAGTCTAATAGTAAGCATCATACGATGAAGTTCCTGCTGTTCAGGAAGAGTGGTCGAATTTCGACGAACACTAATGTAGACTAGAAGCGGTCATGATTCACATTCCTTGATGAACACTCCTCGAGGACATGAAGTTTCACGAAACCAAAACAAGGTGCTGATCGATTTTACTCTAAGGTAAGTGAACACTGTCTTCAAAGTTTGATAGACTTCAACTCACTGACAGATCCCACAAGATGAGTCATACAAGAAATACGAAAGGCGATGTTAACAACTTTTGACACAGGTTAAATCTGTTGCATTGGTGCTACAAGCTTAACGTAATAATGTATAAAACTTTTAGGAGGTAGATACAACAGTAAATACTTTCACAGAGAATAATCTGTAACTCACCTCGCAAAAGAATGAACCAGACAACCCAACAACGGAATAAGGTTCGATGAAGTACTGTGACTTCAACCATTCACGGTGTTTAACTTCCCAACTTTCCTAAAGGTAAGAAGAGATTGCGTCAATACTTCACCGAATATTGAGAGATTGATAGGTAAATTTTCATATCCTTACCTCCTGAACAGTGAAATCAGGTGCGCAGACCCCAGTGGATTGAAGAGTTTTTTGAGTATGTGTGACACCACGTAAGTGTAATGTGAACGCACGTTCAGTACCAAAGTTTCGTCCACAAGTTTCGCAGTAGTTCCTATCGCTTTCATTATCATTGTCATCTTCGATATCTTTCTCAGAACCAACAAGTACCTGGGTACTTTCTACTTCATAGTAGTTGGCGGATGCAAAGTTCTGATTAATAGGATCTGAAAAAGTTGAAGATATAACAGTTTGG